GAAGTTGGATTATTAAACAATGAATGGAAAAATTGTAAATGTATTTGGACATCATAAGCCAACAAAATATGACGCTTCAATTATGAATGATGTACTTCTATGCGACCAAAACCTTAGAAAATTGCTTCATTCTGTTGACATTACATTACTTAATAGAGGCTTTCGAGACTGTCTTGATAACTTAAGAAATATTTACAATTTGGAGTCAAATATGCCTGCATGCATAAAAAAAGGTCAAAAACATTAGACAACATTACAAGCTAATCAATCTAAAATGGTTACCAAGTGTTGCTGGGTAATCGAAGTCACAAATTCATTTCTAAAAACATCGTTTAAAGCCTTAGATAAAGTGCGCAATAAATCCTTGCCTCGCACACTCACCGAGTACTGAATTGCAGCATCCCTTACTAATAGATTTTCCAAGCGCCTTTACTCAGACCAGGATGACAAACAAAAAACTATTAAAAACATGAAAGTAAAGCTTCATTTAGAGAATAGTTTGGAAAAGCTGTTCAAAACTAAAAAACTAAACAAAAAGAGTTTGTTTGTAAACATTGAAGCAGCGCTTATACTTAATTGTCCAAAATTACTTGAAGAAACAATAAAAAACAACATAATTTTAGGCTCATATTAACTTAGACAATACTTAAGCTACATTTTTGAACATTTCAATAATGGTAAATATGAATTAGCTATATGCGAAAGTGTTCAATCGATAGGAAAATTGAAAGTTCGTTCTCTTATTATCAGATCTCGCCATTCTGGTTCTACAAAGTATAAAGTTTATGTGTAATATTTACCTAATACAAATGATGAAACTGGAATCAGAGAATGGTACTGTACTTGTTATTCCGGCATGAGATTATTAAGTTGCTGCGCACATATTGCTAATGTAATTTATTATTTAGCATGTGGAAAATACTTTAAGATTCTTCTAAATCCAGCTGGATTACTGACATTCTTTTTTAATAACAGCGCCAAACCAGAAACTTTAATGTTGACACAAATTGAAACTTTGGAAGATGAATTTTCAATTTATTTTGTTTTGAAAAAAGTTTTTTAAAAGAAGCCTAAAATTAATTTAGTTTCTTCTTCGGAATCATTTGCTGATCATTCAAGTGTAGATTAAGATAAATCTATTAAGAATACAAAGCCTTCACCGTCTGGTATGCAAGATGTAGTCAATCCAAAGAAATTGAAAGTTAACAAAAAAAAACAAAGTGAAAACTCGTGGTTTTTTAGTAAAATTCCTAAATGGGGAGGAAAGCTTATAAAACCGAATTTTAAAAAGTCAGTGAAACTATTGATCACATGCGTAATTGATTATTAGTTACTCACACTTTGGACTTCAAGCAAGCTGCCTAAGAACATATTAAGTAATTTAAAATACTCTGATCTCAAAAAAAAATTGCTTCGATAATAGGGGTTTATTGATTCCAATGCTTGGGATAAAGCATAAACATAAAAGGAAATCTCTCTACCTCTACATTTGGAACTGAAATGGAATATTTCATTAATTTCATTACGCCAATTCAGTCTTTTGAGTCACAAGTAGTTTGCAATAATCAATTCTGCATGCGAAGTTCAACTAAAGAACTATTAATGATCAATTTGCAACCTCCTCAAATTGAGGGGGTTCAAACTTTATATGGTCATAATTTTTGAATGCTAACATATTTTACTATGAAATTTAAAATTTATTGATGAGTATAAGTTGAAAACAGTGTAAAAAATATTTCATTAACTAGTTGCTCTTACGTCAGGGATGGGGGGACATAATTTTGGGGCTTTTTTGTTCCCAGGCTCTAATTATCAAATTTTTTGCGAAGCATCTATATTTGACATATGCTGGATCTGCTCCTAGGGCTGTATTTATAAAAAATCTTAACATCTGCCATTAAGTTTTTTAAAACGAAAGCTTTTTTTTTGTAAGATTATTATAAAATAAACATGGTATTTATTTTATAAAACATGTAATATTACCAAGCAATATTTCATGTAATATTACGATAAACATTTTCTTTTTAAAGGACAAACTTATTATCAAATCGATGGTGTAGCAATGGGTTCTCCACTGGTACGTGTTCTTTCCAATTTGTTTATGGTCACTTAGAAAATAAATGGTTCAAAAATTTCAATGATGTAAAACCAGTTTTCTGTAAAAGTTACATTCGGTGACATTTGTGCTGCTTTCCAGTCAGAAAATGACGCGCGTGTTTTTCTTAGATATATAAATAGTAGACACAATTCTATTTCTTTTACTATGGAACAAGAAGTAAATTCAAAAATATCTTTTTTAGATGTAAATCTAAAATACTTGATGTAAATCTACAATACAAGGATGTGAAAATGGTTGAAGGTGTGACTGCAAGAGCAGGTCCAACTATGTTTACAATGCGTTTTTGCACCTTGTCTAAAAGAGAAAGGGCATCATTAGAAGATCCGCCCCAGATATGGCAACAGTATTCCATACAAGAACGGAAAAAAGAAGAGTGCTGTCCAACTTTTATACTACGATTGGAAAGGAAGGATTCAATAATCTCAAAGATGTTTCCAGATACACTCAAGAAAGCTTATGGAAAAGACCAGCATGGCAATCTTTATTAAACGCTTGAGAAATGTCAAGAGCGATGGCCTTAACCTCTCCACCTTTATCTAATGCGCGATAAAACCTATCGGTTAATACTGTTAGCAAATCAGCCGTAGAACGAGAAGATCGAAATCCATACTGATGATCTGAAAGTAAGTTATTAGATTCAAGATGAGAGATTAAGTGTTTGTTAATTAAAGATTTAAAAATCTTGCTTATGATATTAGGAAGACTAATGGGACGGTAGTTAGACAAATCAAATCACTCTCCAGAATTTTTAAAAATAAGGATAACAGATACTGCTTTCCAACAGGCTGGAAAAACAAGACCCTGATAAGCACATTTGTCAACAGGAAAACGAAAGATTTCTACCCAAGGACCATCACAAAGAAAATCACGGAAAGAGTCCCAGTCAGCTTTAGGGTAGTTGTAATATATACGATGATAGGATGATTCTGATGATAAAGAAGAATGAGATAATAGTTTTAGAGAGATTAAACTGTGATCAGAGACACCTAAGGGTGAATGTGGAGAAACTGAACACTGACTAGGATCAGAAACAAGACATAAATTGAGTAGATAAGGTAAATGATTCGGGTTGTCTGGAAAGCGAGTTGGAAAGTTGACTATTTGAGTTAGGGATAGAGAAAGGCAAAAGTTGTAGACTTTAATGCATGCAGAGTCACTGACACTAGAACCAAGCCATTCAGTGTGATGAACATTAAATTCAGCGACAACAACAATATTGGCTGATCGATAAAGAGAGAGGGCTTGGTCAATATGATCAGAAATAACATCAACAAGAGTGCAGTCTTGAGATGAAGGAGAGCGATATAGAACAAAGAGAAAGATGATAGAGTGAAGTGGTGCTAATCGAAAGCACATAAAAGAGTAGTCTGTAGATTTAAACCTAGTTTCCTGACAAATGGGTGAATTGTTGCGAATGTAAATGCCCAGGCCAAGCATGTGACTATTGGAGTCTTTACGAATTAAAGGATGATAACCATCAACACTAAGATCACAAATGAGACAACTGAACTTAAATTAGTCTCACAAAGGGCGAGTAGGTCTGGTGAACTTTGCAAGAGATAAGACTCAACAGAAGAAAAGTTACTTCAAAGACCACGAATATTGGCGAATGATAAGTTTAGCAAACTTGGTGATGACAGTAGTTTTTTGTGTTTCATAGTTTTTGTTACTTAATTAATTTTTAAATTTGTTAAAGAACTTGACATGAAACATAGATAGTTTTTAGTACACTGTTTAATAGCCCAAGCAATTGCCTCATTACTATTAATAAACCCTAAGCCGTAACAAAGGGCTCCAATGTGGTCTTGGCAATGCACACCAAAAGTAAAAACAGGGACACCATCCATGTACAACATGGCACTGTTAGTATTTTGATATTTTTCAGCTGTTGATGGAATCAGTCTCTCTGAGAGCTACCACAGAGTTCAGGAAACCTGACTACCAGCCGGCCTCACAACCATAAAACTGAGTTTTAGAGCAGTACCCTCATTAGGAGATAATAGAATGAGTTGCCTAGTCAAAAACAGAGACACAACAAAACCCATGCATCGAGTCAAGAAGATCCAGCATTCAACATCCTAAACTGGAAACAATGTATTAAAAATACATCTGTGCCAGTCTAATAGATGAAGAAGGGATGCGAGGCTGGTCAACAGATAGAGTCTGTTTACCCTTAAGTCTTTGCCTAGGAGGCCTTTTACAAGACAGCAGCCGGATGCATTTAACCTGCCAGGATGAGTATTTGTTTATTATAAACTTAACATATATAAAAAAATAGTTTCTTCCAGCTGAAGTTTATAAAATTTAAAAAATAAAAATTCTTCATAAAAAAAAAAATTATAATTTTTAACTCTAGTAACATTAAAAAATAGCAAAAATCAGTTAAAGGGAGTGTGGACATAAGCAAGAGCAAAGGCTAATTCTTTCAAGGCTTGTATTATGTATATTTTTATCACAAAACTTTTAATTATAAAAATTTTATGAAACAAAAAATTTAGATATGTTTGAATAACTCCCAATTCCACTACCATACATATTTTATAATCAAATTTAAAAGTAATTTGTTGTCAAATACGAAAAGAATTGCGTTTGAAAACTTTTAAATTTTTAGTCTTTTAAGTAGAAATGTTTGAAATAAAAGAAATGTTTGAAATAAAAGAAATGTTTGAAATAAAAGAAGTATTTCAAATAAAGGAAGTGCTTGCAAAAAAAATGCTAGGGTATTTCAAAACCAAAAAAAAAGTAAGAATAAACTCATTTGCAAATACATATGTATAAAATAATTTAATACATATGCACTTAATAACATAACAAATATGTACCTAAAACAATACAAAAAATTAAAACTAAATTAAAAATAAAAACAAAAATTTAAAAATACCATCAATATAGTTTTCTTGAATTTGACTAGCAGATAATGGTGTTGCCCACATTTTGAAGTCATCAATCCAGAAACGCCCATTAGCAGGATTTTCTCCACCTTTAAATAATGTAGCAGCTGTTGCTGGCCAAGCATTTCCCGAAACAGTGTCCACTATAAGTAAATATAAAAAAGTTAAAAATTTAATCTCATATAGTAAATAAGAATTTATTTTTGTCAAATAAAAAGACCCCAGTTTTCATCATGTTACCCAATTGCCTAAACAAACATATTTTGTTTTTTTGTTTTAATTTATAAAGCATTATTTGGTATTTGAGATAACTAACTTTCAGCCATAGAACAAACTTTAAACATTTACATGTTTATAGTTACATCAAATAAGGATGTTTTGTAAAAAAATGCAATAATTGGAGCCTTGGAACATAAAAGCCCTAAAATTTTGGCCACAACTGCCCTATACGTGAGAACAACACGTAGTAGTAACAGTATAGAAAACAGCCAAACTGAACTAATTTGAAATAGATTTCAAAATTGAACTTGACTTTCCGGATAAAAATGTTGTTTTTATTTACTATTTCGGATCAAAGTAGAGAATAAAATCAAAATTGTGCAAAAAGAAATAGTTTCAAAAATTCTAAAAGCAGTGTAATTTCAAAACTAGGAGAAAATGATTAACTTAAGTAATTAAAAATTAAATGTTGAAAATTAAAAAAAAAAAATTTTTTTTATTTGATTGACTGCCTACCCAAACCAAACCCTCAGTTGATGTAGCAGCACTCCATGCATGTTCTACCTATTTGTCAGTCAATGTAGCAGCACTCCTTGCATGTTCTAACTCTTTGCTAGTTTTTGATACTATTCCTAAAATCAAATTTCGATATTATTTCCCATATTTTTGACTTCTAAATGGATTTCGATTTTTTTTTCAAATTATTTCCTTAAAATTAATTTTTAACATTTTTCCCAAAAAAATCGTTCAATCAAAATTTTTTTGATATCATTCAATTTTTCAAGCTTTTTTTCTTTTTTTTTCTCAATACTATTCTGCTTTCCCAGAGCAACAAGTTGATAAAATACTTGTTTTTACTATTCTGAACTAATGTTATATTCATCAAAAATTTTAAATTATATAGTATAATTTTTCAGCATTCAAAAATTATGACCACATAAAGTTTAAAATCTGCTCAATTTGAGGGGGTTACAATTTATATATGATCATAAATTTTAAATACCAAAAGATTATTGTATGAAACTTAAAATTTATCAATGAATAAAACTTTAGTTGAGAATAGTAAAAAAAACGAATGATCATCATTATAAATATATAGCATAAAAATATATGTTTATATCTTCTACGGCTTGTGGTTCAGACAACAATTTCATTCATAGTCTTACAAAAATGTTCACCAGAACTTGTTTTAATACTTGGTAAACTATTAATAAGTACTAAATATGTTGTTTTAATTTTTAAAAAATAACCATTTATGAATTTAACCATCCTATGAATAGCCTTCTCCCTATTATTAGTTTCTTTATATAAAGGTGTTGAGATTAAACCATTTATTTTTAGCTTTCTAACCTAACAAAATTACATTCAATATTAAAATAACAATATTATATGTAATATTGTTATTTTAGCTTTTTAAAATAACAATATTACATTCAATCTTGAAGGTTTACAATCTTCTAATAATCTTCTGCATTTCCAGTAACTAAAGGTGTACCCTAAAGTTCTATCTTTGCTACTTTAATTGTGGTACTGGACAAGCTCAATACAATGCTATAGTTAAAATACTGGAATAATATGGAATATGTGACAATGTGAAAGGTTCATGTTTTTGTACCACTGCTAAAAATACTATTTATAATTAAAATACTAATAAAATAATATGAAATAATAAAATAAATAAAATTTGAATTTTTTAAATGTTTTATCGAGGCTCAGTAATATGCTTACATATGCTTATTTTTTTCCAAATCTGAGCCTCCATATGCTTATAAACGTTATGCTTATTAAAAAAAAAACATGTAACAATCTTCCTGACAATCTAACATCTAAAATAGTTCTATTTGTTGACAACTCAACTTTATACTCTTGTCTTGACAAAAAATCTTCACTTTTTTATTGCTTAGAACAAACAGATGATCTTTAATTTCTTTTCTGTAACAGTTTGGGGCTTGCAGCAGCTTGTGAATTTTAATTACAACAAAACTTATTTTCTGCAAACATCTAAAGCAATATTGTTTGATATTCCTGTATTGGCAAGTAACAACAAATTTGTTGGGTGTTTCAAAATGCCTGGCCTCACCTTAAAATTTATTCTGTAATTATTTTTATTCATGTAAATGGTATATATTGGATTAAATTTTATTTAAAGAAAAGGAACATTCTGTTCAGAAATTGGTGAAAAATTAAGATTTTTGCTCAAAAAAAGGCCTTTATTACTCGGTGGCCTAAAACTTGAGGTGAAAAACATTTTCTGAAAAAACTGTTTACAGACATGGAACAAACTACTACCTAGTAGTTTTTTTTATAGTAGTGTCAAATCAAGTTTTATATAGGCAGAGCCAAAACCAAAATATTGATATTGGGGTTTGGGGCTAGAGATTTAATAAACCATAGATTTTCCCCCCTACCAATATCCAAATTTTAAGACCATTATTTTTAAAATTGTCGAAATTATTAGCTGCAAAATAACATTATTGAAAAAACAAAAATTTTTGGAGCTTGAATTTGAAAAACTCTTTCAGGATATAAATATATAAGAGTCAGTTTTAATAATTCTTTGTAATCTCCTCTGGGAAAAATTTTTTTATTAAGAGACTTCTTGCAAAATGTTACAGTTTTGAGTTTCTAAGAAACCGTTAGCAATAGATTGCGAAATTAACATATTTAATATGTTAATTGTTAGCAATCTATTGCTAACAATTAACATATAACCGTTAGCAATAGATTGCTAACAATTAAAATATTTATTAGCAATAGATTGATCATATTTAACAAACTTTGAAGAATCAATGCTACTTTTATCTCATTCCAGTTTGTTTGGAAACGTTTGAACATTAGGTTTTCTGGAGATTTAGTTTTTACAGTGGTAAGTTTTTCACAAAAGCCTTGTAAGCCAGCATTTGTAAAATTGAGTTTTGTTTTCCAGTATTTTGACTATAGAGCAGTTCCACAACTGTCACAGCGTGACAATCGTCTTTTTTTTGTCTTAAGCATTCATTATTTTAATATTAAAATAGGTATAAAAAGATTTTTTTTTGCTATTTAGTTCATAATAGGTGCTACAAAAAACAAGAAAAAAAATTTGGGTGGATAAACAAGCCTCTCATTCATGCAAAAAAAAATAAAACGCCACAACCTGACCAAAATTTTCTCATTGTTTTTTAGTTTTTAGATCAACACCGCAATTCAGCTAATATGGATGAACTGAATTATTATCTTGGCATTAAACAAAAGGTTTAGACATTAATCTTACAAGTTTTATAACTAAATAACATTTTTTAAATTAAATTTTACACAGACGCAACTTTAATTAACTAGTGGTAAACGTCACAGCGTGACCAGACACATTTGGGTAATTATAAACCAGGTAAATGGGCTGTTTTTAACAAATTTAAAACTTAGTAGAGAGATATTAGGCAAATTACTTATCTTCATAAAAATAGTTCTTATACATTATAATTTTTAGAACACGCCCATAATATATTAGTGTCAAATCGTTTCCATATTATATTGCTGTCATATTATTTTTTGCATTGCTATTCTTTTAACAGTCCCACCAATAGCATCTACCAGTCCTTTCCCATGTGAAGCAGCAAAAAAGTTCCAGAATAATTTAAAACCATGATGTTCTTCCAACCAGGGTGTTGCTGATGCAATAAAACAATTTTTGAATTGATTACTTGGCCTGTCTGTCCAAACCTGCAGTATTTTAACACTTAATTTAATATGGTTAGATAACAAAGTATGAACAAATACAATAATAGATTCTTTCGAGTGGTTTAAATCATCTGAATCTATGACAGCGAATGAGCAAGAATTTTGGTACCAAAATACAGCAGTAAACACAGTAACTTGACTCTTGTGCCAATGTGCGGACTGCACTTCATCTTGCCACAAAGTTGAAAAATTTTCAGCAAAATCTACTTGAAGAACAGCTGTGTCTGGATTACTTTGAAGTTGGATCTTATGATCATGTGTCTTTGATTGTTTCTGTTTAATAAAATAATGCCAAAGAAATGAAGGTAAATATTTTGAAAAGGTACTGTAAAGATCATCAACTCTTCCCTTTTTTTCAATTTTTTTAATATATTCTTTTCTATTACCTTCTGCAAACTTTTCCCATTGGTAATAACCTTTAATGTTTTTATCAACCTTTTTTTTTCCCATTGGTAATAACCTTTTATGTTTTTTAATCTGGGCCATTGAAGTTGATAAAAACTCAATTGTGGTTTTAGCTTAGCAATTTTAAATATTGTTTTTACATAAAAAGATTCTAAAATTAACATAAGGTAATTATTTTTTTAAACATGTTAGAATTTTTTTAGATGTACTAGATAGATTTCTCATTGCGCTGGAATTTTGAAATCCTAAGTTTTGCTGGTTGTCCTAGAAATAAAACTATTGGTACTTTAATTGTCACAGCGTGACAATAGTAGTAATAACATTTGATTAAAATAAATGGTTTTCTGGATTCGTCTAGCAAAAAACATGTTTTTATCATAAGTAGCAATGATTAGTGCAGCTAAAAACCTGATTGCAATGAGCAAGACAGTTTTTGAATTTTTTATAGGTTCAATTGAACTTTGATGATTAAAAATGAATTAAATTATCGCAAAAACGCCTATTTTTATGTTCTGTTTTAGCCCATATTATTTTTTATAATAGCGGCATACTATAACAAGCTATATATTTTCTGAAAAAGGAGACTTACGCTTTCTACTGATATATAGCATTATGTATATTGGCTTGTTTTAATTTTTTCATTTACTGTGAGACGGTCGTGGAATTGCTCTATTGCATCGTATTGAGCTTGTCCAGTACAACAATCAATGCTGGTATGTCAAGCAGCTTTATTTCCCCATCAATATTTACAGAGATTGCAAATATATATCTCTTTTTGATTCTTTACCTTCTGTAATATCTT